GGTTCTTATTCAATTTCTCTGCATCTTTGTCGCACTGTGGCATCATTGAAGATAACCTTTAGTTGTAGTTTCAATGAGCCTATGTGGGAAACATAGAAGATAGGAACAGGAGGAGGCCATTCAGCCCTTCGAGCCTGGTACAACATTCATCATAATCATGGTCAATCGTCCAACTCAATAGCCTAATCCTGCTTTCTCCCCAGAACCTTTGATCCCATTCGCCCCAAGTGCTGTATCTAGTCACCTCTTAAATACATTCAATGGTTTGGTATCAACTACTTCCTGTGGTAATAGGAACTATACGGTAAATGGAAAAGCCCTGGGGAAAATTGATACACAGAGAGATCTGGGTGTTCAGGTCCATTGTACCCTGAAGGTGGCAACGCAGGTCGATAGAGTGATCAAGAAGGCATACGGCATGCTTTCATTCATCGGACGGGGTATTGAGTACAAGAGTTGGCAGGTCATGTTACAGGACTTTGGCTCGACCACATTTGGAATACTGCGTACAGTTCTGGTAGCCACATTACCAAAAGGATGTGGATGCTTTGGAGATGGTGCAGAGGAGGTTCACCAGGATGTTGCCTGGTATGGAGGGTGCTAGCTATGAAGAGATGTTGAGTAGATTAGGATTATTTACATTAGAAAGACGGAGGTTGAGGGAGGACCTGATTGAGGTCTACAAAATCATGAGAAGTATAGACAGGATGGATAGCAAGAAGCTTTTTCCCAGAGTGGGGGACTCAATTACTAGGGGTCCCAATTTCAATGTGAGAGGGGAAAAGTTTAAGGGAGATATGCGTGGAAAGTTCTTTACGCAGAGGGTGGTGGGTGCCAGGAACGCGTTGTCAGCGGAGGTGGTAGAGGCAGGCATGATAGCATCATTTAAGATGTATCTAGACAGATACATGAATGGGCAGGGAGCAGAGGGATACAGATCCTTGGAAAATAGGTGACAGGTTTAGGTGGGGATCTGGATCGGCGCAGGCTTGGAGGGCCGAAGGGCCTGTTCCTGTGCTGTAATTTTCTTTGTTCTTTGTTCTTTGTTCTTTGCTCTTCGTAATGATTTCCACAGGCTCACCACTCTTTGGGTGAAGAAATGATCCTCTTCTCCATCCTAAATGGTTTACCCTAAATCCTCATACTGTGACCCCTGGTTCTGGGCACACCCACCATCGGAAACACCCTCCCTGCATCTACCCTGTCCAGTCCTGTCAGAATTTTATAATTCTCTATGAGATCCCCCCTCATTCACCTGAACTCCAACAAAAATAATTCTAACCTAGTATTCTCCTCATATGTCAGTCCTGCCATCCCCAGAATCAGCCTGGTAAACCTTCGCTGCACTCTCGAGAGAGCAAGAGTATCCTTCCTCGGAAAAGGAGACCTGCTCCTGTACTCGAAACCTCTCACAATGAAGGCCATTTGCCTTCCTTACCACCTGCTGCACCTGCATGCTTACCTTCAGCAACTGGTGTACAAGGACACCCAGGTCCCACTGCACACTCCCCTCTCCCAATTTACAGCCATTCAGGCAGTAATCTCCCTTCTTGTTTTTGCTTCCAAAGTGAATAACCTCACATTTATCCAAATTATACTGCATCTGCCTTTTATTTGCCCACTCACCCAACCTGTCCAGATCATGCTGAAGGATCTCTGCATCCTCGTCACATTTCACCCTCCCACCCAACTCGGTACCATCTGCAAACTTGGAGATGTTGCATTTTGTTCCCTCATCCAAATCATTAATACATATTGTGAATAGTTGGGGTCCCAGCACCGATCTCTGGGGCACCCCATTAGTTACTGCCTGCCAACTTAAAAAAGTCCCAATAATTCCTACTCTTTGTTTCCTCTCTGCAAACCAGTTTCCTATCAATCTCAATACACTTCCCCCAGTCCCATGTGCTTTAATCTTGCACAATAATCTCTTAAGCGGACACTATCAGACACTAAGCAGTTAGTTATTGATGTGAGCAGCAAACATTTGCATCATACACAAATGAATAATTTAGCAGATTCCTTGATACAATGGGAGATGGAAGACTCTGATAGGGTGGGTCATGGAACGCCTTACATTGGACTTGACATAGTGCATTGAGTATTGAAGTTGGGATGTTGTGTTGCGGCTATACAGGACATCGGTTAGGCCACTTCTGGAATACTGCATTCAATTCTGGTCTCCCTGCTAGAGGGAAGATGTTAAACTTGAACGAGTGCCAAAAAGATTTACAAGGATGTTGCCAGGATTGGAGGGTTTGAGCTACAGGGAGAGACTAAAGAGGCTGGGGCTACTTTCCCTGGATCGTCGGGGGTTGTGGGGTGACCTTATAGAGGTTTATAAAATTATGAGGGACATGGATAGGGTCAATAGTCAAGGACTTTTTCTCGGGGAATAGGAGAGTCCAAAACTAGAGGGCATAGGTTTAAGGTTAAAGGGGAAAGGTTTTAAAGGGACCCAAGGGGCAACCTTTTCACGCAGAGGGTGGTGCATGTATGGAATAAGCTGCCATAGGAAGTGGTGGGGTATAGATTAGGGATCTAGGTCGGATGCCCATCGGATTGTTGGTGCAGACTCGATGGGCCAAACCTGTGAGACTGAGATGGATGCAGCCATTGTCACAGCCTCAATACAATTACTGCCTGAAGAAGAGGAGGAATTTCCACCAAGAATGCCCAGGTGCAAGAAACAGGCTATGGTCCAGTACACGCCTCCCATATCCGAGTCAGAGTTGGAACAGCCAGACAGCTACAAGAAAAGGAACAGGCCTACATCCTCAGGCTTGTTGGGGGTGGGATGTAGTGATTGGAACCAGGTTGCCCAGGTGGATATCGATGAGAATGAGTTCCCTGATTGGGGCTGTTAACCTGGGCCAACCTCATCCACAACCCAAGCTACAGATCTTTGCCAAAACTTTAAACAATTACAAGATTAATGTGCTAAAGCGGAGTAGAATAACATCACTTCATCGGAGGCTCCACAGACGATGTCACCTGGGAAGGTGACAAAATGCCTAAACAAAATCAAGCCAGCTTGGCGAGCAAGTCAACAATCTCGGGGCAAGTGAGTGGCCAGGCTGAGAGCAGGCCCCACGCGAAACCAAAATGACAATCTACGTGTGGAGCCAGAGGAGATAGCCAAGGTGAGTACTTTGCTGAGTTATTCACTTTTGTGAAGGTAGGTACAGAAATCAGGGAGAGGAACTGTGGTATTCTTGAACAAATTAGCATTGAGAGGGAGGAGGTATTAATGACTTTAATGGGCTTAAAAGTAGATAAAACCCAAGGCTCAAAGGTAAGTTGTATACCAGGCTCTATTGGAAAGCAAGGCAGGAGATTGCAGAGCCTCTGATGTTAATTTTCCAATCCTCTTTGACCACAAAGAAGTGCTGGAGAATGGGAGGACAACTAATGTGATACCGTTATTCAAGAAGGGTGGTAAGGATAAACCATGAAACTACAGGCCAGTACCTATCATCTGTGGTCGGGATAAACCTCCAGAAAACATTCTGAGAGACAGAATTCATCTCCACTTGGAGAGGCAAGGATTAATCAAGGATAATGGACTGATAAGGTCAATCAAATTTGATTGAATTTTTTTGAGGAGGTGACAAGGTGTATAGCTGAGGGTATTATAGTTGATATAGTCTGAACATCCCGCATGGCAGATTAGGGAAGAAGCTAAGAACCCATGGGATCCAGCGCAACTTGGCAAACTGAAGCAGAATGTGATGGTCAAAGGGTGTTTTTGAAACTGGAAGCTTGTGTCCCGTGGTGCTGCATGGTGTTCAGTGCTGAGTTTTTTGCTATTTGTTATATACAGTGATGATCATTATTTATGAATACAGGTTTGATCAGTACATTTGCAGATAGCATGAAAATTGTTGGTATGGTATACAGCAAGGAGGAAAGCCTTAGGCTGCTTAGAAGCAGGCCATTTTGAAAGCAGGCCATTCAGCCCAACAAGTCCAAACCAACCCTCCAAACAGCATCTCACCCGGACCCAAACCCCCGCCCTATTTCTGTAATCCTGCGTATCGCATGGCTAATTCACCTAGCCCGCACATCCCTGGACACTGTAGTCAGGCCCATCTAGCTAACCTGCATATCTTTATCCCAGGATGATATGGCCAACCTGGTCCGATGACTAAACAGTGGCAAGGAACTCAATCCTCAGAAATTGTGGGAGGATGCATTTTGGGAGCATTAACAAGACAAGGGAGTAAATATTCAACAAAAAGCCCCAAGAAAGTACAGAGGATCAGTGGGACCTTGTGTGCATATCCATAAATCCTTGAAGGCAGCAGGACAGATATATAAGGTGGTTAAGAAGGCATGTGGGATATGTGCTTTTATTCGTCAAGACATTGAATATAAGAGCAAGGAGGTCTCGACAATATAACTCTAATTCCAACCTTTTTTTAATGATTTTATTGATAATTTATTGAACCCAGGTCCTAAGATCATTATCTAGAGACTTGTGATAACACCACTAGACCACTGCCTCCCGATAGTACAATTAATCACTTCACTTCCATAATTTCTCTGTCTCTGTCTGCCTGTCTGTCTCTCTCTCTCTCTGTCTCAACCAGAGGGAGAGACAGGGAGAGAGGAAGACACAGGGACAGAGAGATAGACAGAGAGAGCTACAGAGAGCTACAGAAAGAGACAAAGAGAGAGACAGAGAGACAGACAGACAGGGAGAGAGAGGCAAAGAGATAGAGAGAGAGGGGGATAGAGATAGAAACTTTTCATTTCAATGCTGCTGCAAAGGCCACTTTGCACTCAGGGACAGTACCCAACTGCTGCGTTGGAACAGGGTTCATCTTAGGAGTCTTAGCTTGCTTTTTTGGTTCTTTTTCACTTTGCACGTAATTGGATGTTTATTGCATCTCAGCCTTGCTTTACCTTCCTGTGCACTGACTTTCCAATGAATTGCAAAGTGAATGAGAACTTAGAAACTAGACTGGGAAATTAGGGATGGGCAATAAACACTGGGCTAGCAGAGTGATTTTTTTACAAAAATTGTAAGTGAGTCAGGGATATACTGGATGAAGAGATAGTAGGAACTGCCGATGCTGGAGTCTGAGATAACAAGGTGTGGAGCTGGAGAAATACAGCACGCCAAGTAGCATCAGAGGAGCAGGAAGGCTGACGTTTCAGGTCTGGGCCCTTCTTCATAAATACTGTATGAATGTGGTTTTTTTTAATACCGTTACTCTCAGGACATTGGCGTCGGTGGCTGGGGCTGCATTTTTAATGCCTGCACCTAGTTGCCCCTTGAGAATGTGGTGGTGAGCTGCCTTCTTGAACGGCTGCACAAGGGAGATCCACAATGCCCTGGGGATGTGGGGGTGGGGGTGGAGTTCCAGGATTTTGATCCAGCGACAATGAAGAAACAGCAATACATTTCTAAGTCAGGATGGTGAGTGGCTTGAAGAGGAACTTGCAGTTGGTGGTGTTCCTGTGTATCTGTTGCCCTTATCCTTATCTATGTAAGTAGTTATGAGTTTGGAAAGTTCTGTCTGAGGAGCCTCAGTGAATTTCTGCAATGCATACGACACTGCTGCTACTGAGCATCTATGGTGAAGGGAATAGATGCTCTAGATGTGATGCCAATCAAGTGGGCTGCTTTATGCTGACAAGCTTCTTGAGTGTTGTTGGGGCTGCACCCAACCAGGCAAGTGGGGAGTATTCCATCCCACTCCTGACTTGTGCCTTGTAGATGGGGAACAGGCTTTGAGGAGTCAGGAGATGAGTTACTCACCGCAGTATTCCTAGCTTTTGATCTGCTCGTGTAGCCACTATGTTTATGTTACAAGTCCAGCTGAGTTTCTGGTCAATAGTAACCCCAAGGACGTTGATAGTGGGGGACTCAGTGATGGTAACACCATTGAATGCCAAGGAGATGTAGTTAGATTGTCTCTTATTGGAGATATCTTTGCCCTGGCATTTGTTTGGTGCAAATGTTACTTGCCACTTTTAGCCCAAACCTGGATATTGTCCAGATCATGTTACATTTGAATATGGACTGCTTCAGTATCTGAGGAGTCACGAATGGTGCTGAATATTGTGCAATGATCGGTGAACATCCCCACTTCTGACCTTATAATGGAGGGAAGGTCATTGATGAAGCAGCTGAAGATGGTTGGGCCTAGGACATGACCCTGAGGAACTCCTGCAGAGTTGTCCTGGAGCTGAGATGACTGACCTCCCACAACCACGACCATCTTCCTATGTGTCAGGTATGACTCCAACCACCAGAGCGTTTGTCCCCTGATACCCATTGATTCCAGTTTTGGTAGGGCTCCTTGATGCCACACTCAGTCAAATACAGCCTTGATATCAAGGACTGTCACTCTCACCTCACCTCTGGAATACAGCCCTTTTGTCCATGTTTGAACCAAGGCTGTAATGAGATCAGGAGCTGAGTGGCCCTGGCGGAACCCAAACTGGGCGTCACTCAGCAGGTTATTGCTGAGCAGGTGCTGCTTGATAGCGCTGTTACTGACACCTTCCATCACTTTACTGATGATCGAGAGGAGACTGATGGGGCAGTAATTGGCCGGGTTGGATTTGTCCTGCTTTTTATGTACAGGACATACCTGGGCAATTTTCCACATTGTTGGGTAGATACCAGTTTTATAACTGTACTGGAAGAGTAATGTAGTAATGTCGCTGGTGAGTAATTCAGAGCCCCAGGCTAATGTTCTGACATCACAAGCTCAAATTCCACCATGGCCTCTTATGAAACATAAATTCTATATGATAAAATAAAATAGAATAGTTTTTATTGTCACATGCGCTTGAATGAGTGCAGAAAAAGTTTGTCATGTCACCTCTCAGCGCCATCTTAGGTACAGAGTACCTAGGTACAGATACTTTAAGGGTTATTACAGAATTGAAATTGTAGAAAAATAGACAAGCATGGAATACAGAGTTTAAAAAGTCTTGAATGATAATAGCAAGTATCTTTAAAGTACTCAAGTTGTAATCGTTTTTCACTGAGTCCATGTCCACCAGGCTTCAGAACATGAGACCTCGCTGTCTCCACAGGTTATCCTTAGTCCAGGACTCAACTCCCCGGCCGGCCTGAAGTTGCTCTGTTCTCACTCCGGCCGCGACTGGCTTCTGGGACTTCTGGGACAACGTGCTTTCAGTTGTTTCAGCGGCGGGAGTCCGGGAGGAAGCGCGAGGGCAGCCTGGGAAGGTGAGCTTTTCGATTATAAAAGTCTTATCTCGCGTGACTCCATTTTTGGAGTAAGTGAGGTAATATATTTGGGCAGTTGCTTTACCCAAAACACTACCTAGGTAGTGTCTCCCACCCATCCTCCTCCTCTAACCAAAAAAAAAGGTTCTGAGCGCTGATTTGGTAAGGCTATTAGTTTTTTTTTACTTGTCTGGGAATTCAGAACAGTGGGAATGGATGTTAGGCAGTTGTATGCTCCTCCTGTAGAATGTGGGAGGTAAGGGTCACCACTAGTGTCCCCACTGACTTCATCTGCGGGAAGTGCACCCAACTCCAGCTCCTCGGAAACCGTGTTAGGGAACTGGAGCTGGAGCTGGATGAACTTCGGATCATTCGGGAGGCTGAGGGGGTAATTGAGAGGAGTTACGGGGAGGTAGTCACACCTCAGGTACAGGAAAAAAGTAGATGGGTTACAGTCAGGGGACGGAAAGGGAACAGGCAGACAGTGCAGGGATCCCCTGTGGCCATTCCCCTCAAAAACAAGTATACCATTTTGGATACTGTTGGGGGGGGGGGACTTACCAGGGGTAAGCCATGGGGTACAGGTCTCTGGCACAGCGTCTGTCCCTGTTGCTCAGAAGGAAAGGGGGGAGAGGAGGAGAGCATTAGTCATTGGGGACTCCATAGTTAGGGGACAGATAGGAGATTCTGTGGGAACGAGAGAGACTCGCGGTTGGTGTGTTGCCTCCCAGGTGCCAGGGTCCATGATGTCTCAGATCGTGTTTTCGGGATCCTTAAGGGGGAGGGGGAGCAGCCCCAAGTCGTGGTCCACATAGGCACCAACGACATAGGTAGGAAAAGAGATGGGGACGTAAGACAGAAATTCAATGAGCTAGGGTGGAAGCTTAGAGCTAGAACAAACAGAGTTGTTATCTCTGGTTTGTTACCCGTGCCACGTGCTAGCGAGGCGAGGAATAGGGAGAGAGAGCAGTTGAACACGTGGCTACAGGGATGGTGCAGGAGGGAAGGATTCAGATAACTGGATAATTGGGGCTCATTCTGGGGTAGGTGGGACCTCTACAAACGGGATGGTCTACACCTGAACCAGAGGGGTACCAATATCCTGGGGGGGAAATTTGCTAATGCTCTTCGGGAGGGTTTAAACTAATTCAACAGGGGGATGGGAACCTGAATTGTAGCTCCAGTGTACAGGAGGTTGAGAGGAGTGAGGTCATAAATAAGGTTTCAGGGTCGCAGGAGTATACCAGCAGGCAGGAAGGTGGTTTGAAGTGTGTCTACTTCAATGCCAGGAGCATCCGGAATAAGGTGGGTGAACTTGCAGCATGGGTTGGTACCTGGGACTTCGATGTTGTGGCCATTTCGGAGACATGGATAGAGCAGGGACAGGAATGGTTGTTGCAGGTTCCGGGGTTTAGCTGTTTCAGTAAGATCAGGGAAGGTGGTAAAAGAGGGGGAGGTGTGGCATTGTTAGTCAAGGACAGTATTACGGTGGCAGAAAGGACGTTTGATGACAACTCGTCTACTGAGGTAGTATGGGCTGAGGTTAGAACCAGGAAAGGAGAGGTCACCCTGTTGGGAGTTTTCTATAGGCCTCCGAAAAGTTCCAGAGATGTAGAGGAAAAGATTGCAAAGATGATTCTGGATAGGAGCGAAAGTAACAGGGTAGTTGTTATGGGGGACTTTAACTTTCCAAATATTGACTGGAAACGCTATAGTTCGAGTACTTCAGATGGGTCAGTTTTTGTCCAATGTGTGCAGGAGGGTTTCCTGACACAGTATGTAGATAGGCCAACAAGAGGGGAGGCCACATTGGATTTGGTACTGGGTAATGAACCAGGCCAGGTGTTAGATTTGGAGGTAGGTGAGCACTTTGGTGATAGTGACCACAATTCGGTTACGTTTACTTTAGCGATGGAAAGGGATCGGTATATACCGCAGGGCAAGAGTTATAGCTGGGGGAAAGGCAATTATGAGGCGATGAGGCAAGATTTAGGATGCATAGGATGGAGAAGGAAACTGCAGGGGCTGGGCACAATTGAAATGTGGAGCTTGTTCAAGGAACAGCTACAGCGTGTCCTTGAGAAGTATGTACCTGTCAGGCAGGGAGGAAGTGGTCGATCGAGGGAACCGTGGTTTACTAAAGAAGTTGAATCTCTTGTCAAGAGGAAGAAGGAGGCTTATGTAGAGATGAGGCGTGAAGGCTCAGTTAGGGTGCTTGAGAGTTACAAGTTAGCCAGGAAAGACCTAAAGAGAGAGCTAAGAAGAGCCAGGAGGGGACATGAGAAGTCTTTAGCAGGTAGGATCAAGGAAAACCCTAAAGCTTTCTATAGGTATGTCAGGAATAAAAGAATGACTAGAGTAAGATTAGGGCCGGTCAAGGACAGTAGTGGGAAGTTGTGCGTGGAGTCCAAAGAGATAGGAGAGGTGCTAAATGAATATTTTTTGTCAGTATTCACACAGGAAAAAGACAATGTAGTTGAGGAGGATACTGAGATACAGTCTATTGGACTAGATAGGATTGAGGTTCATAAGTAGGAGGTGTTAGCAATTCTGGAAGGTGTGAAAATAGATAAGTCCCCTGGGCCGGATGGGATTTATCCTAGGATTCTCTGGGAAGCTAGGGAGGAGATTGCAGAGCATTTGGCTTTGATCTTTATGTCGTCATTGTCTTCAGGAATAGTGCCAGAAGACTGGAGACTAGCAAATGTTGTCCCCTTGTTCAAGAAGGAGAGTAGAGACAACCCTGGTAATTATAGACCAGTGAGCCTTACTTCGG